AGAAGATTCCAGTTGCATTAAATTATTAAGTGAATATGATAAGAGTTTTAGTTAGTTACAGAAATCGAATATCACTGAAAATCAGATGATTAGTTAATAGTAATACTTTTTAATTATTCATCACAGTTCATTGGTTGACTTTTAATAATATTATGATCATTACATGAATATTACAGTTATGAATTCCTACTTTTCATAATGTATAGTGATAGTAGACTGAGTAATGAAAACATCATTCTAACCTGAAGATTTCAAATATATTGTATAGTATCAGATGGGTTTTGTGGACATTATAGTGATTTGAATGGTTTGGATCATGAGTTAGTTGAAGCTAGACCACCATGGAAAACCTAGAAGCAATGGACGGCCATTTCGTCCTAATGTGGGACTCCTCAGCAGCACGCATCCACGACCTCGCTCCATGCGATATTCCAACCCAGGAGCTACTGGTTTTGCGCGCGAGCACTTAACCACTAAACCACTGAGTCGGCATCCAACGGTGTTGATGTCTAACATCAACTTATCCACGAAATTGAGCGACACATCCACCATTGTCTTCAGTGAGTTACTATCTCACAACAGTAGGTCCTGGGTTGGAATCTTGAAGGGGGAGAGGTCGTGGATGCGCACTGCCGAGGAGTTCCACAATAGGATGAAACGGCCGTCCAGTGCTTCCAGGTTTTCCATGGTGATCTAGCTTCAATTAACTCATGATCTTAACCATTAAATTTATATTGTATAGGTAGTTACTAATCCACATAATATATTTGTAATACCCCAATGAGTAGAAAAATTAAATTTTCTGACTTTTTGTAACTCAATGTAAGCCGCTTATTTGGAGAATAAATTAATTAATTTAACTAACCCAAGTTTAAACAGTAGAAACGAACAAAGCAAATATATTTAGTACGATCAGTCAAAAACGAGATCTGACCAACTCAATGTCATATCACCCCGGTCACAGTAATTTATATGTGACATGCTTGTATGTGTTAATGGGTGAAAAATGTAACATTTTTAATATGAAAGGAGCAAGCAAACAACAGGAAAAAAAAAAGATTATTATAACTGAAGAGAATTAAAAAAGAACGGTAGCATATAGTTAACATTTTAAAACTTAATGATGTTTTGAATTTGTAGATACTGCAATAAGCCCTTGAGTTTCAGATTTGTTAGAAATGAATAATTATGATTGTTAGTTACATATGCTCATAGACTATTATAAATTACTTACATAATAGTGATAAACTCAAACCAAAACAACATAATGGTTAACATAATTTTTTTTCGTTTTCTATCTTTTTAAGAAGCGAGAGATGAATACATTGGAATCCACGCATCTAGTGTATGATGGATGGAAAATTTGTTACATCAGCTAACTGAGTATGGAAGCCAGATAGTGGCTATTAAAGACATTTATAAGATGTATTTACAGTTTTTATTCAAGTTAAACAAAATTAAATGATATACATCAATCGTTTCCCAAATTTTAAATTGGAAACTATTACTTTATCAGCACATTCTCTAAATTACTGCTTACATTTTATTTATTTAACACAGAAGTTCAATATTAGTGGAGTATTAAGACAAACGTAGTACCGTATGACATTCAATTAAGACTAAATTTTCTAGCTATAATCCTTATGAAAAGTTTTATAAATATCTCAGTCAATTTCAAATGAACAAGTGAGAATAATTAAAGAGGAAGAATGTATTTGTAAAATCTCAGCAAATGAATTTTGAAGAAAATCTAACGTTTCTCCTGGCAATCTGGTCAAAGCTTTTTCAAGGAAATATAATCAAACATCAAAATTATCGAATATAAATAGGTACAAGGTTTTCCGGTTCACTGTATACTGAATAGGTTATTCAATCAATGTTAACAATGTATAAAGTAGGTATTTACATTAGTGTGTAAGAGACATGTGGTGTGAAAATGAAAGGTGTTAAGATCATAGATTGTGTGTATACATAAGTGATAAGAAATTTCATTCACTATTTCATGTCTTCGGTCGGTGAATATTAAGAAAACATATAATTTTTTATATAAGATATGAATCAAAAATGTCACATGATGCATTAAATTGCCAGGCGAAACATTGGATTTACTTCAAAATTCATTCGCTAAGATTTTATAAATACATTCTTCCTCTTTAATGTCTCACATTAACCCGGCGCCCAAATACTGTGAAACTATTCGATAAAATTTAGACGAAAGTTCTAAAGTGAGAATAATGTCTTACATTTTGTGTTTTTTTTTAAGTTCAACTTATCAAGAAAGCAGTAAAGTAAATTCACATCATTTTCAAATTCAGTGAACAATTAATCAACATCCTTTTTTACTCCTAATATAATTGTCTTCAGATTACTTTGAACATACTTACCTTAAATGAGTTACAAGAAACTTATAATAGATGTAAATTTTGGCGGCCTGCTTGAATATCTGGGCTACCTGTTTCTGCCATCTGATTATTACAACAAGTTATCTGTTTTTCATTTGTTTTAATTTATAATTATGTCCATTAATCGCATAACCTATTCAGGCGCTTTTATGAAAAGCCTACGACCTTTCGCTGCACAAGTTACGAAAAAGTACTATAAAAGGCATCGTGGTGGTTGGCAATATGCGTTAAAGACAATGAACATTAATCGTATGTCGATTCCCGAGCTGCTAAATTCTAACTGCCGATCACTAATCAACAAAGTGGACTATCTGCAATTCTTACTTAGTCAAAATACGTATCGTAATTGTGGTGTCATCACAATTCAAGAATCTCGGTTGAATGATTTACAGGATGATCGCCTTGTATCACTACATGATTTTAAAATTTATCGTCCGGATTGATCGAACAATAAAAAGAGGTGTGGTGGCGATGTAGCTACGTTTGTAAACATAAACTGGTATCGATCTTCGTTTGTGTGTTTTAAGTTTTCAAATGACTTTATCGACTATCTAACTCTAAGATGTCGTCCGAAACATCTGAATAAATACAAATATGTTTATGTTACTAATATCTACGTGACTCCAGATTGCACATCATCTGCACTATCTGTTTTTGCTGATGAATTCACTGAGTTCGCTGTTACTGCCTTCAGTGATTCACTTTCAGTTGTATGTGGTGATTTCAATTCATGTGACTGTAGCTTCCTTACTTCACTGGGTCACCAAAATGTAGTAGATTTTCCTACCCGTCTGGATGCTCATCTACACTTCGTCTTCATTAATGATGTGGGTATATATGCGACTCGTAAACGTGCTCCATTGTCTAGCTCAGATCACTGCATAATTCGTGTTCTACCTAAAGTATATGGAAAGCATGGGAAGAGTACACTCTTATATCAAACCAAGAAAGTCAAATATAGGAATTACACAGGAGAAAATATCCGAAATTTGAAAAACATGTTTCATACGACTAACTGGGAATTATTTACAGATGACTCACTCGAAATCACTACTGATGTTATCACTTGTTACCTTAAATTCTGTTTTAATATTTGTTGTCCCACTGAAACCATTTTTGTAAGTTTTGATCGACTCACATCTTCACAACTAAAACGACTACGAAGGATGAAAGAAAGCATGTACAAGGAGAAGAACTCAAATGAAGTTCGTAAGCTAAATGGTCTGATAAACCTAGAGATTAGACGTCTCAACTGTATGTTTACTCAAAAGTTCGTATCTTGCGAAAACTCTCCAAGTATGTGGAAATTCTTTAAAGAACTTACAGCTGACAGAAAGTTTAGAAGCGATAACCAGCTGAATGTTTGTGACTTAAATAAGTCTTTTGTACGTCAGTCATCTGATTTGATGCTCCCTCTATCCACGGGTTTAAAAAGTAGCTGTGTTCCTACTTTCACTGAAACTGATTTACGAGGATGTCTCCAGTCGCTTAATTCATCTCGATGTTTGGGACCTGATGGTATCCCAAACATCCTTTTTAAAAAATGTGCTGACGTTCTGTGTCATCCGTTCACAACTATATTTAACAGATCCTTCTCATTCAATCTCATACCGAAAATGTGGAGAAAGATGAAGATAATTCCTGTACCCAAGAAAGCATCTGGTGATAAGAATGTGAAATTTAGACCTATCGCAATAACTTCACCCTTCCTCAAAACCATGGAAAAATTATAATTACTTCCACTTCAGCCTGCGATAAAAGAGCATACTGACCCATACCAGTTTGCATACAGGCGCAAAAGAAGCACTTTAGATTCTGTTGCAGTTCTGCATCACAACATATTGTTCAACTTAGAAAAGGGTAAGAAGTATGTTCGACGTGCTTTTCTGGACTATACTTCAGCTTTTGATTCTACACCAAGACAACGTTTACATAACAAGTTAATCAACGTCAACACTGACAGCTGGATAACCAACTCTTACAATTTGTCAATTCTTTCATATTACCTATTATTCTTTACTGTTCTCCATTATTCTTTCCCGGGCTTTTGAGGAAAGACTTTGCTGTATTGCGAAGAGTGCTGAAGGCAGTTAGCAAGGTGTGTGGTGAATCTATCGAGGTCATAATTAATATGGTTGTGGATAGACATTTAAAATCATGCAAACTCCTGGCAGGTATTATTTTATCAGATACTAGCCATCCCCTTCACTCTTATCTTTCTCCTTGTATATCTTCTGGTAGAACGAGACGTAATTACATTAAAATCCATGCACGCAAGGAAAAGTACAAATGTTCTATAATACCTTACATAGCAAATATACTCTGTGACGAACAGGTTGTTAGAGTTAATCTCCCCGATAACCTGCATTCTTAACATGATTTTAATTTTAAATGTTTGTACAGTTTTTTTTGGTTTTTTTTATTTTATTTTTTTTAAAAACCTTTTTTTATTTCTTTTTGTATTTGCTACTGCCATTTTGTTCGTTGTTCAGTAAGTAACTTGTTGAAATACCTTGTGCTGAGAATTCTATATTGTACCAAAATATAATATTGAATAAGGCCATTAATAATAATAATAATAATAATAATAATAATAATAATAATAATAATAATAATAATAATGTAAAAGTAGATAGTTGTGAAAAGTTTTGTAGCGAACAAGAACACGAGTGGGGACAATCGAATGCATTTGGCGCAAAATTACAGGGCTTGTTAATAAAATCTAACAATCAAATATTAAATGTTTAATTTGCCAAATGTCCATCAGTTGTCTCAAAATGACTCAGACTTCATTGTTCTTGCGTTTTCATATAAATTGCATTCCGTTTCCATTCTTTACCGTTTGATCCTGCTGCCAGACATTTTGTTCACGACTAACATCATATACTATTTATGTCGGTAAAAGTAGCAAACACCAAGGTTTTACCTGATTATTTACCTGTATAATATAATTATTTTACTCGAAACAGTAATTTTTAGATGATAAAGGCAAAGAATGTATGTCATGTTCAAAATTAAATAAGCAATAATTATAAATAATGCTCAAATAAAACTTTTTGTGAATCTAAGAAAGTAATTCGAAATTATAAAAGAATAAATCTTAAGATTTCTCAGATTGTCTATCTTTCCAAAGAGTTTTTTTAAACCATTCACGAGTAAATGAAATTGATGGTGCATTTGGCTCTTCAATTCTTGATAAATCATCCATAGAACTTTTCCAATTATTTTTTAAATATACATTATTATGTGTTGAAAGGTAATTCTTGTTTTCATTTTGCTTTGAAACAGTTGTATCAACTGGTGATAAAGGTGTTATATCATCTGGAAGTTTAACAGTTTTAAAATTTGAATTTGTAACAACAGGTCTTTTAAATTTGGCTTGTGCTAGTCGAACATAGTGTAAACGTTTGCCTGATAAATCTTGAATATCACAGAGTTCTGGTGGTATTTGATCTTGTTGCATATCGGATCGTTTCCCCAAAAGTCCAGACCATAAACCACAATAAGCACTAGCTAGACTTAACTGTTCAGAGTTCAATTTATTTTCTTCAACTGAACACTCATTGAAGTTATTGTTATTTAACATCTCTTGGCTGATCATTCGGTTATCAAATTTAAGCGATTTTAAATCAGGTGACTTTGATCGAGTATAATCTTTTTCTATTGAATTAATCAGTAACAAGACCTGAAATGAAAGTAAAAATTAAGCATTAACTTCTGTTTTGTACACGTCTTTTAAGACATTTGCCATTATCTGTTCCCTATTAAACATTATTAGAATTATTTAAGTAGTATAATTAGACTTCATAGATTAACGGATTCTATCTCATAATGTGAAAACAGTTAACGTTGTAGAATAATGGGACTTTATTTCTTTTCATCTGCTTTGACTTTCAAATATGCATTAGTCTTCTAAGTAAAATATTTTTCATTTTAAGTTCAACTGACATTTTCTTGATGATTAATTTACTGTTACTTCTACATTTCTTTTTTCAGTTTTTTCCCAATTAATCTGTAAGCTTCACAAATATTTCTCATTCGCTCTACCATTATTCACATAACTACAATAACACGTTTTCATACACTTTAGTGAACATCTATATTTAAAAACTATTACCACAATATTCCTACAATTATTTAGATTATTATTGTCGTTTAACTACTCCTCCCCCCCAAAAAAAATCCATCGGTTCTTCCATCCTAATGATTGTTCCTACTCTAAATTTTCAGAACATCTTGTTCTACAATAATTTGTTCACCATCATCATTATTATAATCAATTAACTATTGGGTTTTGTAATTACTACCAAGCTTATCATTTTGTCTACCCTATTATATATATATATATTTTTTTTTCTTACTGGCTTGACCTCATCATGATCTCACCCACACTGTTTCTGTACAAATTGAATATATTCACTCGTGGAAATTGATTTTAGCCATCTCTCATTAGTCAATTAAATAAATTTACAATATTATATTTGTAAAATACTTGATTGAAAATATTTTTCAGTATTTAAATAAGTCAACTAAAAATAATTAGTTCACTTGATCATATAAAATTATTTATTCTTGCTTCATAAAAGATTGTCAACGGAAAGGATGTTGTTTATCTGGATGTGTCACTCAATTTCGTGGATTAGTTGAAGTTAGACATTAACACCGTTGGATGCCAGCCGGTTCAGTGGTCTAGTGGTTAAGCGCTCGCGCGCGAGATTGATAGGTCCTGAGTTCGAATCCCGCGAGCGGGATCGTGGATGTGCACTGCTGGGAAGTCCCATACTAGGACGAAATGGCCATCCGGTGCTTTGAAGTTTTCCATGGTTATCTAGCTTCAATTGACTCCGGATTTCAACTATTGGTAGTTAAAAATGTTTTATTATGTGAATGACTTAAATGATCTTGATAAATCAAGTGAAAATAACAAATCATATTCACCACTTATAATGTTTCATCAGCTGACTTAGAATTATGTATACTCTACGGTATTGTATGATGATATTTCCATTCAGTTTAGGATTTCATACTATCAGTGTCAAAATAGTATTTTATATCAGCTAACAGTGATTTAAATTTAATCAATAAAAGTAGACATTAGTAAACAAAAAATATGTTTTACTCTATCCATGTTTGTTTAATTCATTAAAGCTTGTTATCACAAATAGAGGAAAAACAAGTGTTCTGCCTTTCGAAATGTTAGATATCTAACTCTCTTATTATCGAGAATAATAACATCTATGTTTAATAGACGAAAGGTAAATTGAACATATGTGAGTAGTGGGTTCCATAACTAGTCAGTATTCAACAAACAAATACAAGCATTAATAAGACTTCTAATCAAGGAGACCATCTGTCAACAGTGATTGAATAATATACTCCAGAAATGTGAACAGTGGAAAGTTTTAAACCCTCACAAATGATAATATCTTATAGATAATTTTTTAACCAAAAGACTTCTAAGACATCATTTTGCTATCAAATAAACTTAGACAGGATTAGTAACCAAAATTATATGTAAATGAACAAAAATGTTGGAATGGAAAATAAATAAATGGTTATATAACTACATACATTTGACCATATTTCATAAGTCGCTCTAGCTTTCAGAGACTTGACTCCTTCACAAGCTAAATCTGAATGTTCAGTAAAAAGAACTGGATAGAGAGAAAACAGAATTTCTGTGACAAAACTCGAACTCAATCCTGTTACTCTACCAAATTTTACTTGTTTGTTTGTCTCTGATTTTGTATAAGAATTTTGCATTCCTTTGGAGGTGTGCTCTTCCGTTTTGCCAGGTGTTTTTGGTGAAGTCGGTTGTGATGTGGCTTCCTCGCGAACTGAATTATCTTGTTTTTCATTTTCCTTTATCTAAGATAAAAATTATCAAAAATTATAAAATAGTATTGATATCTATAAGTTGAGTGACTAAATGGTTAGTTTAAAATAAGTATTAAAAAAATAAGGAGACTTAGACTTCAGACTTATACAGACAAAAAGCTATGAAGTAATCAGTTCATAATTTTGAAGCATTTAAAAGTGATTATATGCAAAATGTTAGAACCAAAATAACAATTATGCAAGCTGGGATAGATCTCTATATGAAGATGAGAAGTACTTTAGTTTAGTCAACTTAGTTTTCTGTTCACTTGCACTTGTTTGTTTATTACTGTATACTTTATGAAAAGGCTTATATATTCATTCAGGAAATGAATTAGTCAAAAAGTTACATGTGATTATCACGATAAAGCAGTGATTGCACATTTTATGTAAAGATAAATAGTCAGTGACTGGATAATCTTCATTTGTTCTTGAAGCGTTTGGAAACTGGATCATAAAAACAGATGCTTTTCTGAAATTCTAAAAGCTCAAAACATGTCTAATACGAATATAAGATTATGGTAACTACTTTTCTTACTATGTTTCATTTTGAAATTATTCACTGTTTAAAACTTGCGTGAATCATAATCAGTTCTCCTATCATAGAATTTAAGAAAATGAACTGATGTAATTGACTATTGTTCTAATAAACATTGACCTACGATACACAATCTCTTGGCCAATAATTATTTCTATATAAGTCAGACCAAGGAGAGAATTCGCTTTGCTCCAAGAAACAATTTACTTGTCAATCAATATTCAAGATTTTATTATATCAAGAAATGATCAAACGTAACGACATGTGAAAAACTGAGTTAACATTATTCATAAATTCAACTTTATTTATGAGTAAAACATTTAAATGAATGATTATTTTTTCGTGTGATAGTTAACAAACGTTCATCTTCATTTCAGATCACGTATTTCCGGATTCGCTTACCACTTTTAGAAAATTAGAATCTGAAAGATTTGAGTAGCTGATATTTAGACCATATAATGTGAACGATATTATATAATTAGTATAATAACCATAAAAAAACTTACTACTTCTAGTTTCATGGAATTCATATCACAAGTATGCCCATCGTCATCCACAGAATCAGATTCTTCAAATTGTAAGGGCATATACTCTGAATATTGGTTATTGAAAGGATTAAATAAACAAGCCAATTTGCATAGAGACACTCTTGATTGTTTAGATACACATGATGGAGAGTATGCACTATATTGTTTCATCAGTGCAGTCAATATGTGCATACGATTGTGCGAATTAAATGTATACTCCTGGAAAAATAATATTAAAGAAAATGTACCAATCCAATGTGCCTTTGTATTATCTTTACTGTGATTTGTGCACTTAGATAAAAGTGAAATGACTTCGCACATTTATTTTAATCATCAATAATAAGAACTAAAACTATGATATTATCATTCGTTAGATTTTAAAAATCGTTTTCACTCGGAATTTTCAATTATAAATTAATGTATTTAATCATCATCTAAAAATTGGCAGATACTGACTTATCAAAAAATAAAGATTTCAGTATTCGAGAGATCCATAGATGTCAAGTTTCATGTAGTGAAAGTTCTCAGAAATCTTCTATAATTCTGTAACATGCGATAAAACAAGAACTTATTACCAAACTTATCGTTGTCATCTTATATTGGAATAATTTACTGTCATGACTGTGTCGTTTATTCTCATAACTGAAAGAACAAAGAAACTCTGTAGTTCCAATGATGTGAAGTAAGAATCATAAGATTAGTACAAGTGAAGAATTATTAAACCCAAAACACGACGGCGACACTATTCGGAAATACACATATTGATATATTAATTGTTCACCCATTTTGCCTACTAATTAAGAAAAAGTCACATACATGAAAAATACCTAGAATTATAATAAATCACATGCTGAGTGTCATGCTGAGCATAGTTTAAGTTAAGCTAATGCAATGAATCTCGTTTCATGAACAAACCACACTCAAACAAATTAGTTTTATGACGAATAAAATATCATACGGGAAAGCAAAACAAATACTACACAGAGTAATTATCACAGTGAATTTAAACGGAAGTAATGTTGAACAAAATGTCACAATGAATAAATGAATGTAATTTTGCCTTTTCATCCTGTTATATCAGATACATTATTTACAATCAAAAGATTCATACACAAATTATGCATGGAATTATCTAGATAATGATGACAATTTATTCATTAATACATAAAGTTATACAAAGAGCTTTCCTAAAAATGGCTGTATGAACAGTTACTATTCTTATCACAATTTAGTATATTGTATCGCATGGTATCACTTCAGCAAATTCATCCTTTACAACTTATAGGATTTCGCTAGTAACCATTATGAAACACTTAAACAAACTTTGATGAGTATAAGTTGATAGTAAACTGATTTAATGGGCGATTTGTGAAGTGAATGAATATGATGACTCATGAATATAACTCGGACTGTATTATTGCGGAAATATACTAACTTGCTTACTTACTTACACCTGCTACCCCTCGTGGAGGAGCATATGCTGCTCACCAGCATTCTTCATCCAAATCTATCATGGACAATCCTTTCCAGTTGTTTCCAGTTCCTGTTCATCCTTCTCATGTCTGCTTTTAGTTATTGGTGCAATGTTATCTTCAGGCTTCCTCCTTTCCAGTTCCCTTCTAAATTTATACGTCAGTGCTTGTTTCGTAATTCACTTTGATGATTACCTCAATGTATGTCCTATTCACTTCCAATATCAACTCGTCTGTCCTCTTTCACATTAGACGGTTGCTGATGATATCCAGTCAACAGACATTGAGTATCTTACGTAGACAATTGTTTAAAAATACTTGTACTATTCGGATGATGGTTATAGTGGTTCTGCAAGTTTCATCTCTCTAAGTAGAACTGTGTTGACACTCGTATTGAAGATCGTGACTTTGATGTTGGCTGACAGTTGTTTTAAGTTTCATATGTTCTTCACTTGTAGGAATGAGGATCTTGCTTTGCCAATCCTCATATTTACGTCTGCGCCAGATCCTCCTTGTTCATCGATGATGTTGATGACCAGCTATGTGAAACTTTCCACCTCTTCCATAGCTCCTCCATTAAGTGAAATTGGATTGGTTTTCTCCCTGCTGTGTTTTATCATCTTGCTTTTTCACTTGTGTGTGCTGAGGCTGCTGCCACACTAATTGTTTTCATCTGCATTTGTTGATACACATGGGATAGAAGTCCAAATCCTCTAATTGATTTCGAGCTGTCCATTGTATTCCGTGTTTCCCTTCAGATTTAGAGGCTTTCATAATCTGGTCAACCACCAGATGAAAGAAAGAGAATGAGATTAAGCATGTTTGTCCGACTTCGATCCTTACTCGGAATGTGTCTGTCAGCTGTCCTCCATGCACGAATTTACACTGTAGTTCGTCGCATGAATTCCGGTTGATGTTGATGAGTTTCTCGGGTACTTTATAGTGTCGAAGAAGCTTCCACAATGTTCTCCTATGCAGACTGTCAAACACTTTTTCGTAGACAAAGAAGTTGATGTGAAGAGTTCCGTTCAACTGAATGTCCAACGATGATTCCTAGTGTCACGATTCGGTTTTTGCATAACCAATCCTTACGGAATCCAGTCTGTCAATCTCAAAGTTGGGTGTCTATTGAATCTTCTTTTTGGTTCAGCAACACTGCTGAAAACCTTTCCTGGTACCGATGCCTATGTAATTCCCACGCTTGCCAGAGCTCTTTCCTTCAGTATCTTGATGAGGTGTCTTTCTGCCCAGTCTGTCAGCACTTAATCCTCCTCCCAAATCTTCCCGAATAGAGTATGGAGCTTGTTTGTAGTTACTTTTACGTCTGAATTCAGTGCTTGAGCTGGTATATTGTCAGGTCCAGCTGCTTTTCTACACTTGGTTTGTCTGATGATCATGCTGATTTCTTCTATCATTGGTGACGTGACATATACGGTAAGGTCTATGTGTGCTGCTTCGATGTGCAGTGTATTCAATGGAGCTGGCCTATTCAGAAGTTCCTCAAAGTGTTCTACCCATCTATTCCTCTGTTCTTGAATCTCAATGATTGACTTGCATTGGTCGCTCTGGTTTATTATGTTTCCCTACCAGGTTCTTCGTTGTGTCATATAGTTGTCTCATACTGCTTTCGCTTGCAGCATTTTCCTCTGTCACTACCAGGTCTTGCACGTAATATATTGCAGAAATATACTTCACACAAATCAATCTCAAATAGTATCTATACATTAAAAATTGTAGTTCATACAGCAGTTTCAGATAACGTACTTTAACATGTATCTGTCCACCATCCAAATTTTACTGGCGAGAAATCAGTCTGATCGTGTAATTGAACTTATCGGAGAAAGATTATTAGCGTCAGTTATCCGTTCAGCAAGTTTGAAGTCAAATCAGGATTTTGTTATATTGTTGTCAATTTATTATTATTAGTCAATACGATTAGACTTACCCCTGGATAACATCATATAAAAACGGAAGTGGTAATTTGAACTTAACTCTTTCAAATCAATAATTGATATCAATAAGTTAAAACATAAGACGTTTTTCTAGTTATTTTCCTAAATACAATTCTTTGCGAGGTGATTCTCACAGAACGTATGCATCCTAAAATGTTGTTTATATTTTAAGTCTATCATTTTGATAATGTATGTTCAACAGATCAGCAGCATTGAATGTAACAAAGCCAGTATCTTAAATTATATGTGTCAACAAAATGAAATTTAAGTGAACGACTAAAGTCCAGAAAGTTTTCTACTGATATAGTAATACCCCTTATTACAGTCTGAAGCCAATCTATAATTACAGGGTAAATGTCAGCAGTACCTATTGTGTTAAAAACGACAAAAGTTAGGAATCCGCATGTTTGTTGTACGTTAAAAGTCGTTTACTCTTTAACTTTTCTTCTTGCTAATTCGTAATTTTATTTTATACGGCAAGAACAATAAGTCCTCACAACATTATAATAATGCAATCATGACCAGTGTTTCTAACTTCTAATCTAAAACCTGAGTTGTCCAACGGTTTATTAAATCATTCTTTCCAAAACCTCTCATCTTAAATTTATTGGCTGATTAAGAAAGTCGTTTCGATGAATATGTGAGAGCTTTTGTAGGTGAAAATAAAGTAGACAAAAGGATTTAATATCGTGAAAATTGATACTGATCTGATTAGTAATGATGTAATTTTCTCAAATGATTGACTGTATCACATGTGATACATTAATGAAGTCAATTCACCAAACGTATATTTGAAACAGAATATAGATTTCATAATTGTTTCACATCAAATCCACCAACTAATTTCAACTATATTCAGCATAGAAATATTTATTAGTCAGTTATACTTAGGAATATCCCAAGAAACAAACTCATACTTCCTGAGAAACAGTTTGACAAAATGTGAAGCATTAACTCTAACAGATTTGGAGAGGTATTTCGTCAGTATTTCGTGAGTCGAACATACTGTAACAAAAAACCAATTGTTGTAATCAGTAAATTATTTTTATTCTATGAACATAATTCATAATAAATAAATTAAATTTCAATATAAGCTATTTTCCTTTTCATATGTTGTTGAACATTTCACATCATTCGCTAAGTCAGTTATAGACAATATGTGATGGTCGGTATTCGATATAATCTTTAAACTTCGTATACAGCTCGTCTTGATAACCGTTCTATATAACGTCCCAACGGTTTATTAAACAGAAGGCAAATACGAAGTGTTGATTACGTTTATTACGAAACCACACACATATATCAAAATTTACAGATGCGTTAAACAAGCATAGAAGAGTTGTGCCGAAAGGCAAGCAGGTTAGCGGGAGCCATAGCAAGAGCGAGACGAGAGTGAGTGAGTGAGTGAGTGAGTGAGTGAGTGAGTGAGTGAGTGAGTGAGTGAGTGAGTGAGTGAGTGAGTGAGTGAGTGAGTGAGTGAGTGAGTGAGTGAGTGAGTGAGTGAGTGAGTGAGTGAGTGAGTGAGTGAGTGAGTGAGTGAGTGAGTGAGTGAGTATGAATAACATGAACATATATATACCATGTGAAATGAATGAGTAATCGAATCAAATAAGCAGTTAGTAGTAAGACTAGCAGAGTGAATAAATGCGTAGGTCGTAAGCAATATTCAAGCATACGTATTTCATACAAGCACAAAATAATAAGAGTACAATAAGTTATTATAGTGCGGATTACTTTGTCCGCTACATAAGTTAGCAAAATGGCTTAACTGAGTTAAATGAGAATAAACCCAATTGCACGTGAGTCGCTATAAATATACGTTATGATGAAAATATGTATGCATTTTAAGTTCACACTAGGCTTTAATAGAGTGAGAGAAAATCAACAAGATGTCAGACAGAGTAAATATAATTTGCTATCTTTATTAGCGGGAAGGTAAATACAAGAAATATAATTGGAAAGTAACTGACATAGTTGAAGAATAAAAAGCCTATTGACATTAATCTGTTGACTTAATAGAAAAGAAATAATATGGAATGTTCATACATCCACGCTGAATAACTTTCAATTATCATCTGATTTCTGTAAAGAAGGATTACATTTATAAGCAAAGATGGATAATGGCTAACAGTGAAATACAAGATGCGTGTTTTATCAGCTGGATGTTCCTATATCTCACAGTTGATGCTTACTCCTCTACTCGAACTCAGTACTGTTCTCTTCGAAAGCCATCACGTTATTCACCTAGCTGCTGAGTCCTGATAGCCACTTGCTTGTGCAATGAGATGAAGTTCAAATTCACTTGGTATTGTTTACTTGGATATTCCTATTGATCTTCACGACTACAACTTATCAGTCTCTTATCAGTATATATGCATTCTGTGTGGATTGCTAGCCACCATCCACCTTTGTTATGATGCTTGTAACTTAAGGCAATATCAAGGAAATCCACACTTGTTGCACATATGCCAATAAGAGACTGATCAATTGCAGTCGTGAAGATCAATGGGAATATTCAAGTAAATAATACCGAGTTAATTTAAGGATTACAGTTGACTAACATTTTTTACCTAAGAAGTTCATATCTATAAGCATAATCCAGAGTGGTAGAAAAGAGCTTCGTAAACTAACGTGATATTTTCAGTCGGCTTGTTTTATCTTTTTTCCAATTTAATCGTATTTCGATCAAGAATTCACATTAAAATATATTTCCACACTTAAAATTTAGTTTTAATCTAAAAATCTTGATTCACATTCAATAAAGATGAAGATCGTTACTACATCCCTTCAGTTAATTACATTATAATAAATATATTCTTTGTTATATCCAAATGAGTGTAAAAATTTTATTCCCGACGTTTCGTGACTTCACATAGGCCACTTCTTAAGAGTAAATATAAAACAGTGGTGCCTTGGTACCACTTAAAATTGTGTTAATTTAATTTGTTTTCTTTATCTACCATGAAGAAATAGCTGACATTGAGTCACGAAACAACAGAAATTCAATTTTCCTACTTTTTGAGATATAAGAAAAAATATATTTATAATTATTTCTCTACCTAATGCTTAATTTATTTGAAACTATCATGTCCAATCTTGGCAATGATACCCACTAGTTACATTATGCTTTGTTTCAAAATCATTATAATGTTAACTAGTAACATGGGTAACATTGATTTGATTTTATTCAAATAACGATGATAAACGTTCTCCAATATTTGATTATATGCAGTAAAATTCCAGATCAAAGTATCAAATATGTAATATTCTGAAAAAAATGTGGATTACTTCAGTGGTTTAAACAGTTTTAGTATTTTGTCGTTTTATATTACATATAATTGTATACATTTTTCTTATTATCTATCCAGCCTTAATACTTTCATGTATAATAAATCTCATCGAATGGTATGTTTTAAAGTGTTCTACATCCATATTCACATTATAACACACTATACTAGAATTTTACTTTTATTGTTTAGATTTTAGACCGAAAGGATTAGGAAAGCATAAAAGTTGACTGGAAATATGATATATTTCTTCAAAAGTTTATTTAAAAGGGTTAAATGATCACGGTAGTAGATAAACACCGCCATATCTACTGGTAAATCAACCATAAAATGAGTATTTCTTTATAAAACTCCAAAAAAGATGATATAGAACTTGTATTATTATTGCCCTAAGGCAGTCATCCGTTTTACTCAATATTTTGTCAAGAAATTCCTCTTCATCTCTACAAAATAACCAGTTAAAAAATGTTGAGACACTTGTTATGATACAGTTACTGAATATCCATTCAACTGCATACCCTTTTCCCATGTTTAAGTAATTTAAATATCCCATGGGATACATAATGAACTATATGAGATTTGGTAATATTTTATTATGAATAATTTTAACTTCTGATATAAGACAGAATGAATAAAAACATTAAGTATCAGTATTATAATCTTAATTTGTACAAATATGGATATGTACTAAAAATAAAATCCAGAAGAAATATCTAATTTTAGCGTTAGTCACTAGATGATTACAAACGTTTTACTATTATCCATCAATCTCTTTACTACTCACTATAACCATGATATCGATGGATAATTACTAGTCATTCGCAATTAATATTTGTTAATAATAATAACAACAACAATACCTTTTTCTTTATCTATTTCATGTGAATATTTTTTATCAGAAGAGGTTTTGCATAGATTTTTAGAAATTTCAGTAGTTGAAATCATGAGTCAATTGAAGCTAGACCACCATGGAAAACCTGGAAGCACTAAACGGCCGTGTCATCCTAGTGTGAGACCAGGTCTGTTGTGAGATATCAATTCACTGAAGACAATGGTGTACGGTGGCGCAATTTTGTGGATTGGCTGAAGTTAGTCATTAACACCGTTGGACGCTGGCTCAGTGGTCTAGTTGGTTAGGCGCTCGCACGCGAAACTGATAGGTCCTGGGTTCGAATCTCTCGGGAGACAGGATGGTGGATGTGCATTGCTGAGGAGTCCCATACTAGGACGAAATAGCTGTTCAGTGCTCTGAGGTTTTCCATGTTAGTCTAGCTTCAATTGACTCGTGATTTCAACTATTGAAATATTTTTTTCTCTCAGATTACCCAAATGATTTTAAGTTTACCAGACTCAGTAATTGATTTGTTTATTTATTTCTGTTTTGCAAACACTGTTGAAATCTTATCTCAGAATGGAATATAACGATCTACTCTAAATCTTCCAAATACTATTATAATTATTATTATTTTCTTCTTCTATAAAATACAACTTAGAAAATTACAATATTAAAATGTTTATTAATATAACTTACAGGAAATTTTTTATTAAAATATAATTCATTAATAAATTGATTTGATTGTTTTTTTGTAATTGTATATTGATTACATAATTTGATATGATTTAAATAATCAATTTTATTGATTTCATTAGAATTTAATAATTCATTACAATATATAGTTGAATTATATAATATCACTGGATTAAAATTTTCTTCATTTATTATATTTAATAAATTTTTTTGATAAATTTGATAAATAGTCAATAAAAAAATTTCAAAAATATTAATTAAATTCATTGATTCATTGAAATAATTCATTGATAATTGTTTTTTTGTATTTTGTTTTATTAATTTATTATTATTATTATTAGTTAATTTTATATTATTTTCTGATTTCATTAATAATTCATTAGATGATTGAATTATCATTTGTGATTTTGTTTTAATTGTATGTTTATTTACATTAATTAATTTATTTGATTGATTATTCATTAATTGTGAATAATCTTCATTTTGTTTTAATAATAATAATGAAGGAGGAATTTTATCAACATTTTTAAATTTCATAAATTTTATATCCAGTTTATTAGTTGTTATTGGTTTGTTTTGATGAGATTTTTTTGATCCAAAAAAAACTGTAAAGAAAAATGAGGAAACTTTTAGAAAGAAATTTAATTATAAAGAATAATTAATTAAAGACTAATAGTTTATTTGTTTGTTTTTCTAAATAAAAATAGTTTATTTGAATAAATAAGCAAAGTTAATCAGTAGTTTAGATCATGAGCCAGTTGAAGCTAGATCACCATGGAAAACCTAGAACCGGCCATTTTGTTCTACTATGGGACTCCTCGGCAGTGCGCATCCACAACTCCGCCTCACGGGATTCAAACCAAGGACCAATCGTTCTCGCGCACGAGCGCTTAACCATTACACCACTGAACTGGCTAGCATTCAACGGTGTTAATGTCTATCTTCAACCAATTCACCATTGTCGTCAGCAACTTACTATCTCACAACTAATCCGATTGAACTTTACAAAATTTAAAAAAGAACCAATAAGATATATGAAAATATATATGGTTTTTATGAATATTCGTCAAGATTAGAACAAATAGTTTGACAAAATTTAGGCGTGCAGTATAGAAAATTCGCTTTATGTGAAAATTATATTTGAGATAATCTCAGCGATTGAAATTCAATGTAATTCTAACGTTTCGTCTAGCAAACTTCTCTGGACTTCTTCAGGGTAATTGTCAAAATCATCAAAGAAATACTTAGCGTCTTAACAATCAAATCAGATCAAATCTATACTGTGTTAATCCAATCATGTTTGGATGTTTATTTTTAGTAAATAGAATATTATGGGTCAGTTAAATGTTAATCATTTGAAAAGTTCATGGAGTAAAAATAAATGACTGAACGAATTGTCTGTGTGTATGTGTTTATGTGAAAGATTGAGTCAATTAATAGTTGATATTAGGTGTTAATATGTTTTTATCTGAAGAAAAATAAAAACATCATTCATTAATAACTAAATAAGTTTGTGAACAGTGGTGGGTTGAAGAATACTATTTGCAAAGCTGCTGCGAAGAACGGTTTATTTAGAGTCGAAAACTTTTTAAAGGATATCTGTAAAATAAATAACCAAATCAAAAAATTGGATGACCTCTAATTTAGTCATTTATTCTCTGAAGAAGTGGCTTACACTAAGTCACAAAACGTTAAAAAATCTGATTTTTCTACTCATCGAGATATTACAATTATATTATTTATTTAAAAGAAAACCTTTGATTCATCTTTCCACATTTAGTGTATTTGTATAATATCTAAAAGAATATTTTGAAATTTAATTAACTTCTATTTTAGTTATACATAGTTAAATGAGAAATACTTAATTATAATACTTGTTTATTGAAAGAAATAAGCTTTACTTAATAAACTGTATTCTAAACATATTTGTTCAGAGAGGGGTTTTGTAAATATTATAGTAATTTCAATAGTTGAGACCATGAGTCAATTAAACCTAGATCACCATGGAAAACCTGAAAATACGAGAAGGTCATTTCGTCCTATTATGGGACTCCTCAGTAGTGCGCATTCACGACAAAAATGTAAAATATTGATCCTAGGAAATAATTTTTTTTATAGTAAACAACTAAAAAACGATATTAAAATAGAAATTATTTTTATTATATAATAAATTAATAGTTCAACTATGTTTATGAAGAATTTATTGTTTTACACTAAAAAAAATTCAATTTAATTACAAATCACATTTGTTTCTCTTTAAAACAAAATTGATTCAGATTGATTTTTGATTAAACAATAAAATCATTTCCTTTTTCAGTATGATAGTTATTTCTTCTTTCTTTTAAAAAAAATAACTTAAAAGCGATCAATTAATTAAGGACAACTTGTATGTTACTAAGCTTTTCTCAAATGTAATAAAATGAGTTTGTCCAAATTTTGGTCCATTTATTAAATAAAAGAAAGAAAAGAAAAGAAAAGAAAAAATTGATTAAGATTTTAGGATTAAAATGAGTTTAGAAAAGTAATTTCTTCTCTTTTGCATACAACTAGGAAAATTTTGTTAAAGAAAGTATCATGATAAAATAAACAGTATGGTTCACCTAATTGATTTATTTTATGATAAAGCGAACAAATAAAGAAGAATTAAGTCAGTTATTGCAAATAGTATTTCAATGTGATTATAATAGTAGTAGTAAAAATAATATTGGTTACCTCTTAGTGACTAAACAATATATGTGTTTAATCCTTTCAAGTTTTATCTCATTTAATAACTCATTCAATATCAACGTCTTTGAGATGACGTATTTGACATGAGTCCCAAACAATACCTTTAAGATTTTATGTACTTACTGTTGATAGACTTGAAATTATAAACAAAATGCATTCTACTAATTGCCTTCATTACCTTACACTGGAAACATTACCTCTATAATTTTAACTATGGCATTTGTAGAAGTTCTACCAAAAACTACACTTCATTTTGCAACTTAAATTAATGATTTCCAAGTTATCAGATTATATTTAATGTAGAATTAAAACTAGAAGAATCTTACTTACTTACTTATGCTTGTTACCTCTCATGGAGGAGCATAGTCCACCAACCAAAATTCTACATCCAACTCTGGGCTGGAAAATCCTTTCCAGTTCCTATTCACCCTTTTCACATTTGCTTCCAATTCTCAGAGCAGTGTGAACTTTGGACTTTCTCCTTTCCGGTTCCCTTCGAAATTACAAGTCAGTGCTTGCTTCGTGGTGATGTGGTTTGATGATTTCCTCAATCTATGTTCTATTCACTTTCAATATCATTTCCCGATTCCCTTTCCATATGGAAACTGATCTGTTCTCTTTCACATTAGACGGTTGCTGATGATATCCAGTCGACAGACATTGAGTATCTCACGTAGACAATTGTTTAGAAATACTTGTACTATTTGGATGATGGTTGTAGTGGTTCTGCAACTTTCATCTCCCTATAGTATTGAAGATTCTGACTTCGATGTTGATTAACAGTTGTCATGAGTTTCATATGTTCTTCAACTGTAGAAATGCTATCCTTGCTTTACCAATCCTCGCCTTTACATCTGCATCGGATCATCCTTGGTCATCAAAGTATCTTCCAGAGTTTCTCCATCAAGTGACATTAGTTTGGTGTTCACTGTATTGTATTCGAGCCTTGCTTTTTCCCTTGTGTATATTGAGGCCCACTGATGCAGAGGTTTCTGCGACACTGGTTGTTTTGACTTGCATTTGTTCGTGTGTAAAGGATAGAAAAGCTAGGTTATCTGTGAAGTCCAAATCATCTAGTTGCATACAACCTGTCCATTGTATACCTTAGTTCATAAAAATCTTAAAATGTTATCACATAGTGTTTATCATTCATTTTCATTCTTATGACACACAAATCTCCATTTTCAATATTATTCCGTTTATCTTGTTATTTACTGAAACTGTATGGTGAAATTCTAAAAATCTTTTGTCTTTAGTTCTTTTTTAAATTGCTTAATATTGAACCTGTTCAGCAGATAAATGAATTACCAAAAAAATCAATTATTACCCAACTTTATATTTTGCTAAAGTTTTATATTTGCTATAATAACTATGTGTTTGATGACAACAATTCATTATCAGCATAGAATATGCGATATTGGAACGAATTCTAGTTTAATGTTCATGTAATTTGCGATTACACAAATTATATGCATTAAAAAAATTATTTTTTAAAAACGATTAGGCGCCTCAAACTTCTTTTTCATCAATTTTGATTTTAATAACATCTTTAGTCACACCATAATATCGTCTGCACATGAATTTCAATTTCGTTTCTTTAAATGCAAAACAAATAGGAAAACAGTACAAGAACAGTGGTGGTTGCACTCGGATTTTACAATAATTTGCTTCTCAATTGTTCAACTAACATAATTAATTTATTAAAACAAATCTAATATATGAAACTTTATGAAAAAATTTATAAAGTTGAAAAGTAGATTCTGTTATTGTTTTAAACATAACTGTTTTATTTAAGAAATAACCTCATTGATGTCTACCTAAATCTTAGATAAAAACGTTTTTTGACATATATCAATATAATTATCACCGATAGGAATATATTTTTGGCGAGACCCATAATTTATGTACGAACCAATCAGATATAAGATTTCAGATCTCGGATTTTGGCATGAAATTCACTCATCCATTTGGCTAAATAGAATCTTAACATTATAGCTGATGTTAGTTCGTGATGAAAACTCTAAATCGAATTCCTAACTTTAACCATTAACTGTAAATTATAATTTGAATACCTCACACTAATTTATAACCTTCATTTGGTCCTAGTTATTAGATGGACATTCTCAAGATCAGTCTAGCTTTGCTCAAAGGTCGTCCATAGATTATAATCTCACCATATTTTTTTATTTAAAGTATTTAGACAATTAAAATATTCACATTTTTCATATTGATAACTACAAGTAAGTATGAGTAAAATGATCAAACAATGGTGGTCTAGTTTCAAATGACTCATGCTCTTAACCATTGAAATTACTATAATATTCACACACAAAAGAAATACCCTACTGACATTCACAATAGTCTAAGATTTTGAAACTTACTAAATAAACAAAAGTATACATAAATAATTGTTGGTAATAATTCAATTGTAATGAATTGTAAATCATTTAGTAGATTTTTTCTATGTATATTTGATTGATTGATTGTATCTGGCTTATTAGAACAATCATCTTCATTAACATCATATAACATAATTAAATTTTCACAAATCCATTGAGCAACTTCATTGGCACCATTTTTAATTATTGGTTTAGAATTTTTTGGTATCATTTCAAGTAATAAATTTTCAATACCACCAATTAATAATGGATTATAATCAATGAATTTTTCATCAGATTTATCTGTTAATAATATTGAATCATTTTGAGATTGAATCTTTTTACGATAATGATGCAATGAATTGAACCAAATCTGTATTGGTTGTGGTATACGCATAGGCATGGTCTTCAGTTGATATTAGCTGTTTTCTTTTAAATTTGTATTCACTTTATTACAGGAGTAATACTAATAATAATATTTACAAAAATCTATATGGGAATAAATTTTTCCATTACCAAAACTTTACATTAAACTTTATGTATCGTTCTTCAATATATATATATATATGTTGAGCAACAGTGTAATGTTGTTTATACTTAAAGCAGTCATGCCAGCCAGTTAGAGTATGGGATAACTTTGACAGTTTACATTAGATTTCTCTAGAATCATGATAATCCAAAAGTCAACATATACACACATTTGAAGGTATATGAGTACTATCAGCTTGCTCTCTATATGTCTACACTGTTTTATATTGTATAATGATGAATACACATACATATTCCTGATATGTGTGTGTGTGTGAGTTTGTATTTGTGTTTGTCATACGATCATTTTGTTCAATCATTTTTTTTCTTATTCACATACTGTGTCCCATTCCTTACTTCTTAGTAGTAGTATTAATATTTTGGAAGAGAATAGGAATATTAAATTTACCAATGCCTAACTTTCAATTCATGAAAATTATTTTAATGTTAACACACTTATTAGAAATTATCTTCTGTGTAAATATTTATAAATTAATATTACTTGCCAACTTTATAATAAATAATAAATTAAAATCAGACAGGGTTTTTTTGGATATTATAGTAATTTCAATAGTTCAGATCATGAGTCAATTGAAGCTAGATCACCATGGAAAACCTGGAAGCATTTTATCCTATTGTGGGACTCCTCAGCAGTGCACATCCACAACCCCGCCTCACGGGATTCGGACCATGAACCTATCAGTCTCGCTCACGAGGGCTTAACCAGCATCCAACGGTGTGAATGTCTAACTTTAACTAATCAACGAAATTGAACGACACATCCACCATTGTCATCATTGAGTTACTCTCTCACAATAAACCCGGTTGAACTCCACTGGTCACTGCTTCTCAGTAGAACTCCAGGATATACACCTTGAAGCTAGTCACTAGTGAGCATATGTTGTTTAGTATCAGAAGGCGTTTTGTGGATGTGCACTGCTGAGGAGTCCCACAATATGATAAAATGCTTCCACGTTTTCCATGGTGATCTAGCTTCAATTGACTCATGATCTGAACTATTGAAATTGCTGCAATCTCCACTAAACCCCTCTCTAATACAACATATGTAATGGAGTAAGATTGTTTTCATTTAGATGAACATAATCCATTACTCTAATATTCAGTTATATTAGATACATATATATATATAAAACATAAATCAATCAAGGTGATTTACAATTCAATTATTTATCAGGATGGATTACACAATTAATCATAATAAATGATAAATGAAAATGTATAAATTAATAGTAAAATGGAAAATTTTGACATTTTATGATAATCGATTAAATAAAGCAAGAACAGATTGGTTAAATATTATTGTAGATTCGCATTAGTTACTCATACATTAACATAGAAAAATATAATTCAATAAACCATTGATGCTATAACTATACATATATATGTTAACATGGATGATATGAGTTTTCACTTGACTATCATTCTATAAACATTCATTAAATAGGGAAATAAACCATAATCATTTATTCGAACATTATAACAAGTTTTTCTTGTTGACCTTAAATACTGTGAATAATTTTCTAATCCGGTGTCATATTTTCTAATCGTGAATTATTTATTACTTAATGATAATAAGAAAGCTTAAGTAATATGATACTCTAATCAATCAAAAAGACAAAGAAAAATTATTATCAGTATAGAGTTGTGTAGATTGTTAAATTTCATTGAAATCATGAACTAATCTAAACTAGACTACCATTGAAAACCTAGGAGTGCTAGATAGCCATTTCGTTTTATTATCTCCACAACCCTATACTGGCAATCATATGTCCACTAGTGATTAGCTTCGAGAGGAAATCGGAGTTTTTGTGAGAAACTGTAACTAGTTGGGCTAAACCGTGTCGGGCGTGTCAGCTATCCACTAAAAACAACGAAAGGTGATCGATTAGAGTTAGATTTGAACACCGTCAGATGATTTAGAAGTTAAGTGAGGCTAAAGATGCCGGGTTCGATTCATAAATTCGGTGTCGTGGATGAGCACCTCTGAGGATTCTTAGACTAGAACGATACTCCTATCCATCACTTACAGGTTTTCAATAATAGTATAACTTAGATCGGTTTCTGATTTTAATGAAAGAAAAATAAACCTGATGGAAGTACCCAACTAATCAGACCTGCGGAATTTGGGGATCCTTTAACTCAGAGAGAACTAACTTGTTGAATCCTAAATGCTGTGCAGTAATTTATGCATGATAATTTACACACACGATTAATCTAGTGAACCTAAACTTGTTATGGTGATTTGTGTCTACATAAAGTAAGGAAAACTATTAAAACAAAACATGACACCAATGACTAAAATCATTTCGAAAATGGTTTTATCAAGTGGTCGAATTTCCACGATTGTTTATCTCCAAAACCAGTAACTAAACATTACATACAAAACAAAATATTTAAGATAATGATTACTCGTTAATAAAATATTCCGCAGGATTATGTTTTCCAAAACGCAGGCATAAATAGTATTCACATTTAAAAGACAATAAGTTTCATGTGAAATAAACAGTATGATAATGTTGCAGTAATTAGGGCGAGTAATTCGTAGTCAAAACATCAATGTTACTTAACATAACTACATAATGACAGGCCTCTCTCATGACCTTAGTTGTCTGAAGTCTAAAATTTCAAAGAAATATCATAAAATGTACATAAATGTAATTCATAACTATATGATATACATTATCACGCTTGAACTGGTTTTGTTTCTTACATCCCATGATTATTTAACTACGATTGGGTGTGTATACACACATGCATAACTGGATTAATCCAATGTTATCCAACCTGACTTCATAAACAAAGTGTATAGTGAGGAAGGCATAAACGAAGTATATAGTAAAGAAATAGGGAAGTGTATAGAAAGATATTCATCTTATTTACAAAAGGGGCGTAAAAACAAACACATGGTTAGTATTTAAACTAAATAATTCGAAAGGATTATGTTTAAATATGGTAATTCACACCATTATTTATATGTAGATAAATTTCAGGAAACAGCTTATCTAGTGGGTAGGATTATTAATCCCAGTTTTTAGGATTATGTTATTGAACACTGTGTTGGTATCTGTTTTACATTATTCTTACACGACACATTCCTTATCATAAATCATATATATGTATCGTACTTCTCTAAACTTTCATTTTTCGTTATTTTTTTTCGAATTAAATACATAGATTTAAATTGAACCTTATTGTTTGTAATATCCTTATGATTTTTACAACATAGGTTTGCATTGGCCTATGTGTTTCTACTTCGAAACTTTGAAATAACATCACTTCTCTCAGAATTTGAGATGAGTCATACATCCGAATTACAGCTATCCAAAACTGAAGAGTTCATTTATTCGTAATATAAATGTGAAAGTCTCCAAAACTAAAGATATTTGACAAATCTTAAGAGGCATTTGTACCATGTTGAATGAGACTAAATCACTGCAAGAAAAATGGTTCCACACGGTAAACATATATATTTAATAGATATTATCCTACAGTTGATGTAAATACATGAAACTCAAGAGTTTAAAAACATGATTTAGTTTAAAACGAAAACAAAGAGGTGGAATGAAAATTGTGTTTTGTTTCACATATGCTGATATATATATAAATGCTTTCCACATATCTGCATGTTTTATTCATATCTCCAACGGCCTTATTAAGTCTTTATACACTGATCCATTCACACCCATTAAAGTATCTTATGGAGAGATCAGGAAACTTTTATTCCGTTAAATACACAAAATTCTAATATAACTTACAAACTATTTAATGTTAGTATTGATGTGTCAATTATCTTAACTAATTATGGATGAATTGTAATTACTCATGAATATAAACTATCAATGTAATTCCTTCGATGGATAGAGATCAGATGGTGTAATACATCAGAAACTATGAGTTGTTTTATAAATAAAAATTAAACATTCATACACAAAAGATGCATAATTAAATTCACTTTCAACGCCAAATAATTGTCAGATATCTTGTAGATTATTCATGAACCTATAGGCGGCTTGCTTGAATATCTGGGCTACCTGTTTCTGCCATCTGATTATTACAACAAGTTATCTGTTTTTCATTTGTTTTAATTTATAATTATGTCCATTAATCGCATAACCTATTCAGGCGCTTTTATGAAAAGCCTACGACCTTCCGCTGCACAAGTTACGAAAAAGTACTATCAAAGGCATCGTGGTGGTTGGCAATATGCGTTAAAGACAATGAACATTAATCGTATGTCGATTCCCGAGCTGCTAAATTCTAACTGCCGATCACTAATCAACAAAGTGGACTATCTGCAATTCTTACTTAGTCAAAATACGTATCGTAATTGTGGTGTCATCACAATTCAAGAATCTCGGTTGAATGATTTACAGGATGACCGCCTTGTATCACTACATGATTTTAAAATTTATCGTCCGGATTGATCGAACAATAAAAAGAGGTGTGGTGGCGATGTAGCTACGTTTGTAAACATAAACTGGTGTCGATCTTCGTTTGTGTGTTTTAAGTTTTCAAATGACTTTATCGACTATCTAACTCTAAGATGTCGTCCGAAACATCTGAATAAATACAAATATGTTTATGTGACCAATATCTACGTGACTCCAGATTGCACATCATCTGCACTATCTGTTTTTGCTGATGAATTCACTGAGTTCGCTGTTACTGCCTTCAGTGATTCACTTTCAGTTGTATGTGGTGATTTCAATTCATGTGACTGTAGCTTCCTTACTTCACTGGGTCACCAAAATGTAGTAGATTTTCCTACCCGTCTGGATGCTCATCTACACTTCGTCTTCATTAATGATGTGGGCATATATGCGACTCGTAAACGTGCTCCATTGTCTAGCTCAGATCACTGCATAATTCGTGTTCTACCTAAAGTATATGGAAAGCATGGGAAGAGTACACTCTTATATCAAACCAAGAAAGTCAAATATAGGAATTACACAGGAGAAAATATCCGAAATTTGAAAAACATGTTTCATACGACTAACTGGGAATTATTTACAGATGACTCACTCGAAATCACTACTGATGTTATCACTTGTTACCTTAAATTCTGTTTTAATATTTGTTGTCCCACTGAAACCATTTTTGTAGGTTTTGATCGACTCACATCTTCACAACTAAAACGACTACGAAGGATGAAAGAAAGCATGTACAAGGAGAAGAACTCAAATGAAGTTCGTAAGCTA